GCTTAAAACGTTCTGGAAGTCGGGGCAGCTCCAAGTTTTCTGCCTCCGGGGCCTCTTCTTTTATTTGAAAGTACGGAGATTTCTTGACCAAGGGTTTATTCTGAGCAGCTAAGTCACGCTTACTTTTGTAGTGAAGGTACCGAGCCACATAATCTCCTAGCAAATGTCCTGTTGACCGACTGAACTGTCTGGTCAATATGGGTGGTAAATCACCCAGCGGGTTTGACTCGTCTGTTAATCCCAGCTTATCAAAATCAACTAAAAAGTAAAATGGCGAAAAAGTATCAATTTAAAAAGTTTCCCTTGTTAGTAGTTCAGGCATCGTACATTTCTATAGGTATCGTTTTCTGAAGGTGCGATTTTAAGCCCAGCAAGCGAATTAAACTAAAAGCTACTTTTTTAATATTTTTATTGAGCTTTGTACCACGATTGTTTATTAGGAAGTCTAGAAAAAAGAAGTCTGATGAGGAGATGTGGTGATCTCCGAAATAGCTGCTATAACTTCTACCGCTTAGACTTTGTTGCTTTTTCAATTTTTCCTAATAAACAATCGTGGTACAAAGCTCAATAAAAATATTAAAAAATAAAATGTTAATAAGCCACAATAACATTGATAAAAGCTTATTTGTTAAAAGTTTTTTTCAAATAAACATTGAACATTGGAAACGGAATAATTTGCTTTATAAAACACATATTTCAAAATAACCGATTTAGTGTCAGGATCTGGGAACGAAATATATGTGCTGCTATGTATTTTTGAAGTCCTCACCTCAAAAAACATGGTGGATATTATGTGAGAAGCTCGGTTTTTGTGGTTAGGAAAACATAATGGAGCACAAGGGACTTCTAATTCGCGTTCAGCGCAGGAAAGGATCGTCTGATTCCCGAGCGGCGAATTTTTTTGTTAAGTGGCTTTGTATACATAACAGAGACCCACAAAAAAAGTATCACAATCTGGCAACGATACATATGTATGTATTCTCTTCTCTTGTATTTTGATGCGTTTAACACGAATTTGATTTCCGTGTTCCTTCATCACGTCAGGATTTTTTCCTTATCTAAAAAGTGCCTGCAACATAATATCCGCCATATTTTTTAGGTTAGGGTTGAACCCAGACCCGTTCTGCTGACTGTTTTTCTTGTTCAATACATACGAGGCAACCGTGGCACAGTGGTCCAATGTGCAATGAAGCGAGGGTAATTTAATTAAACTTTTTTTTTTAATTTTTCAATAAAATTTTTATCAAATATGCAAGAATATTGTCTACTTAAGAGTAAATACAACTTTGTTTGAAAAAATTTGGCTACATATAAACATAACGGTATCCAAAAGTCATAGAATGCAATAAGTGAAAAATGAAATTGTGCGTGCAACGAAAACTGAGTATTTTTAAGGCTCAATAACTTGTTTAAATAAACTTTGTTTTAACTTCATTTCTTTCTCCGTCATTGTTTTAAGTAAGAAAATTCAGGAAATGTAAAAATTATTACCGTAGTGGACGCACATATTTTTTTGGAGCTGATAACGTTTTAATCATTTTGGTGAGGACCAAATTATTATTATTTTTGTTTTTGTAGACGAAATCTTTCTTATATGGCGGAATATAGATCACTTACTATACTTATTCTCTCAACTGATGTATATACTAATAGAATCCACAAACAAATTCTGCGGCTAGCTGCGGCACCCATACATTTATTTTCAATTTTCAAAATGACTCCTAAAATTTCAAGGCAGGAAATTTTTGATTTTTGGCTGTCGACCCCTAAAAATGAAAGACTTGATGGAATAATGGATTTTGTACCAGGTAATATCAGTCTAGGATCTAGTGATAGAATCAAATTTGATAAATTGAAATCATACGGGCGAAGTTAATTCAGAACTAAAGTGGACAAAAGTTTTCCGAAAAAGAGAGCGGTTTGTGACTGCAAATAAAGATCGGCTCGAGTTTGAAATAGACTTGTCACAATTTGTGTGTTCTAAGTTTGGTAAGCCGACATTTTCTGCTGGTAGGCCAGCTAAAAGTTTTGAAGATTGTTGCCAAAAGGTTAAAATGAAGAAAGCTAATGAGCTTTCGGAAGTTATCGAACCAGATGTATTTTTTTTGGCCACTGAACTAAAAATGAGATCTTCAGCTACGCTACTTAATGAGCTTTTAAGTGCTTCTCCAGAAAGAGGTACTGCTATTAAGAAGGTCAGATTGGCAAAGAAGAGTCCTAAAGATATTTCGCCTGAAGAAGCTCTCGCACTAATAACACCGGCACGCAAAAAAAATTAGTGTGATGTGCATTTGACCGGACCTACCAAGGGTTATGCATTTCGACCCACAGAATCCGAATTTGAAGTCCGTTTGGCCAATATACCTCCTAGATTTCGTGAAAACTTAAAACAAAAAATCGTAAAATATAGCGAAAATCGGCATGATCGGTGATGTTCTTTGCGAGCAAATAAACGAAAATAAGGTAAATCTTCACATAATTTTCATTAGTTTGTAGTTTTTGTTAAATTTTTTATCTTGTTCTCCTTTTATGAAGATGCAAATACAATTTAAAATAATGATAGTTTGGCATAAAGTTTACACACATATGTACATTAGAGTGGTCCAAAAAAATAAAGTCGGAGTTTTAATGCCGGCACACCCTAGGATTGATCTATATCGAAAAAAATATACCCCTATTTTTTTATTTTGAAATTAAAAAATATTTAGTGAGTGCTCAAAGCGCTCAAAGTTTTCCATGTGTTTTATATGGAGAAAAAAAAACTTTTCGTAGAAATGGTATAAAACTCTTGAAAATCAATATCGAACGGAAAACTGTGGTTCTCTTCAGGAGACTTCCAGTATTAATATCCAATTGTTTATTTAACCATTTTTTATGATTAAAGATTTTTTATTGGTCCCCCCATTGCATTTTCTAAGAGCAACTATAAAATATAGTTATCATGAAAAAATTGTTAAAGAAACAATTGAGTATTATTACTGGGAATCTCCAGAAGATAAGTAAAGTTTTCCGATCGAAAAATATAGATTTTCAAGAATTCTACACTATTTCTACGAAAAGTTTTTTTTCTCCATATAAAATACAAGGAAAACTTTGAGCGCTTTGAGCACTACTTAAATTATTTTTTATTTC